CGAGCCGTAGAATACCCGTCCAATTAAATACATATATAGATCTCTTATTTTATTTGTCAAATATCGCGTACGAAGGATTCGGGGGTGGACTGCGATACGAGGCCATCTTGTTGCAGTCCCGCTAAACGTTTTTTTGTACTCGTATGTGAGAGGGGGCTTATATATAAATATTTATCTGGATCCTGTCCAGTTTGACGGGGTTTAGGTATGTAAACATGCGTGTATATTATTTTACTTGTGTTCTTGTGTACTTTCTTTCGTCAGAGTTTCGGCGGCGCTTAACTCGTTGTTCTCCGCTTGTACAAATTTGCCGGGAGGGATATGCATGAGTATATCCATCCCACTATACTTACTCGGAGAACGACATTGGGATCCTCTCCTAATGAATCCTCTTCTGAATACCTACTAATAAGCAAGATACTTGGCCTTTGATTTATCAATCAAAGCCATTATATCTAGGCCTTATCTCCCGCCACTTTTGGTGCATGGAGGAGATTCTTGGCCTTTGATTGATAAATCAAAGGCCAGATCTTTATAGAAAATATTAACCCCTCATTAGCGAGCAGGATCGCATCCGGCATTAGTACAGCGGGCGTAGTGCTGCGAATATTTTGACGAAATAAAAGTACACTGAACACACTAAATACATATACACGCTACGTTTACATACCTAATGGGATAGAAGCTTCCTTCTGACGCGCCGATCACCACACACTTTGTCCTATAACTTAAATGATATATGTAGGGATATCGCTCACTTACCATTAATTTCTTAATCTAGCATGCGGACAATTCCTGACAAAATCGTTAATGGGCATACCACTCGTGATCGAAAGGCATCTAGACATCTCGATACAAGGATGGGATAGAAGCCTTTCTAGGCCTACTCTGGACACCACCCTCTACGGCTCTCTTCAAGCGGTGTTGATTTTTTGTCCTTGTAAGAATTGTAGGAATGATAAAATTGCTCACTAGGAGTGACGCCTAAGTTTCCATCTGTCAATCAATGGATTTGATAGCTCTTATGTATTTTGGTTGCATCACGGTGAAGGCGTTCCAGTGATTGCCAATTAGAGGGAAGAGTTTACTGATGTCGACAATACCGACAATTGAACACAACTGATATGTGGAAGAAATATTCTTACGCGTGCGTCTTCGAGTGATGTTAACACTACTGATATGTTTCAAGATTTAGCCGATTGATGAGACTGTTGAAGAAAACGCAGTCACCGCTTAACGAGGGTTTGCCACCGAGTTCACCAAGGCTTTCTTTATGTTGATCGACTTCTTACATATGGCCAAACCACTCAGTGGGATGGCTGTTACACATTTCGAGATGTTATTAGACTTGCTCAGGAAAGTCATTCCAGGCGGCGAGAAGAGCATCCCCCAACTTATTATAAGCTCACAAGATTGTTGATACCTGGGTTCGTGATACAAAGAAGATAGACGCCTGGTCCTGAATGACCTGCATCTTGTACCAATGAAGTCGTAACTGAAGGTCTAGACGGAATGTCCTGACGTTCGTCATGTATCCCTGGGGAAAAAAACACGGCACATCTGAAGGCATATCATCTAATAAACAGAGCAGAATCCCTGTGAAAGCGTTCTCCGATATTTTCGCTAATTATTCCTAGGCTGCAGAGGTTTTATATGTCTGCCGAGTGTGCTGAGATATGCGATGACATTCGACCGTCGTAAAAGAGGAGCGGGAAATTGAGACATCCTGCCTGATGGTGAGGCCAATGGCAACACAGTCGAATCGTATAATACCCTGACTTTGGTAAGGAGTCCGGAATATTAGGCTGGGGGCTTCTAGGCGACGGATTTAATCCGTTTCGGAGTAATGAGCTTCATGCTTGGTCTACCTGGCCAGTGTTGCTCACACCGTACAACCTGCCGCCCGTCGAGTGTCATGAAGCAGCCATAACATGCGATACTGTCACTCTGATCCCTGGAAGATATTCTCCTTGGAAAGACATTTGATGTTTTCCTCCAACCATTAATTGACGACTTGAAGCTTCTCTGGATGAACGGAGTCAGCACTTACGATGCTTATGGATAAGGAGGCTTTCCGTCATGCGTGCAATGGTTCATGTGGACAATTAATGACTTTCCAGTCATATGCCTAACTTGTCTCGGAGCGATCGAGAAGTCAGATTGCTTGTCCGTGTTTGTCATGTCTCATGATTAGAGGGAAAGTCTCTGAATACAGCTCGGCAAGCTTCTGTTGATTGGCAACACATGATAGATGCGTATCCTCAGCGCACATCAGAAAGTTAGTAGTGAAAGTCGACGCATTAATCCAGAAATATCAGACCCTCTTCACCACCTAAGGCCACCGGGGAAGAAAAATATTTGAGCTTTCTACATTCTCTACCTAAAAAAATATTTTGGAAAGAAAAGATTCAACAAAGCAAAATTCCATTTGGGGTTAGAGAAAAAATAATTGAAGCAAAATTGTGAAGGTAGGGGGAAATGGTAAGACAAAATTGGAAAGGGAAATTAAACCCCCCTCGCACTGTCCAATCGCGATGTGCGTGTCTCTAAGGTACTGAACTTCGCATGGGATGGTCAAAATTCAGCATATTTTATCAATTGCCAATTGGCGTCACAACTTGGATGTCATGCACACCTCGAGAAGAACATATGCTGAGAATCTCTTGAACCACTTTGTTGCCAGACGGGGAAAGAAAATCAAATAGATTTGAACTTATAGGGCACGTCGAGACTGCAGAATTGAATCATCAGTCCGAAACTGCAAGCTATAGATAATTGGTGACGTAAGTTGTAACTCCAGTCCCGTGTCACACTGCGAAGGATGAGATCTCATTAATATCGGTGTTTATCTTCTTAAATGTCGTGAAGAACCGGATGTTTATTCTTAAATCATTTCATGCAAATGTGGCAATGACTTAAGAAAATTGGCTCAAGAACAATGACCATCTATTCTATTGCATCAACTTCTCCTCCGTTGCGTGCGAACATGCTGAAGGAAACTCGCGCTGATCGGTAATGAATTGCGGTTTTCTTCAAGGCAGTTGTGGCTCTCAAGGGATGATGTTCAGGAGTTTGAAAGAATTAGAGGGTCGTAGCCAATACTGAATAATTATAATTCTTCACGGCCTTCGGTCTTTATCGGTCATGTGTCATCTCACAATACATTTAGGATTAATGAAGGCCACGCATTCGTAGGTACCTGTTAATATCGTTTTGGCATGTCCCTGTGGCAAGTAATTTATTATAGACTCTATTAATATTGTTAAATTACTGTATATCATTTTTTTTTGGCACAAATTCATGAATACTATATGCTTGTAGGTATTTGTGGTTTCATTGAAACATTGATGCAATATCCTGCACGTCCTGAGGATTCGATAGCAGATAGACACTATATAAGTTAAATGGAGAGTTTGGGATAAATCATCTTCTTCCGTTAGCTTTTGCGGGGTGCTTGGATGACAAGGCCTAACCGTCCGAACGAATATATTTGACGGAAACATTTCTATAATTGATCGTGGGGAGTATCCTACTTAGTACGTCCAGTATGGAGGCTAGGATCAAGCCACACATATATCTTGAGCAATGATACTACATTTAACATATTACGCGACGTAATATTTAACTGTTTGAAATCAGATATCATATCATCAAATAACTATCTCTATTTAACTGTTGTAATGATTTTATTTAGCTTCACATCCGATATGTGCAGACTATCTCTTAACATGCGCAGAACAACAAAACAAAAGCAGTTCATGGACACACACTCTAGACATTCCCTGCCATGGCTGAAGGATCTAAGATTTATTTACAATTCTGATTCGTATATCAAATACTGTGCTGCAACAGATATTAACACTATTTGTTTTCTTTCTTAGTTGACCGACGTATTACGTAATGGGTTAACCTGCCCCCATGGAGAAAATATGTTTATATGCAAGCGGTCGCTTCTAACGTGGTTATATGCGTTTATGGGGCTATGTATCAACGGCTTACGGTTTAACACCATCGGTTTTCGGAAGAGAAGACGACAAACGCACAAAAGCGTGTGTTCTCGCCTGCCTTCTCGGCAACTCGTCATACGCTAGTTCAAAGATCTAAATCGTAACAAGGTGAAATCTATTTGCTACGGTCGCAGAAGACATTGTGAGATTTTCTCATGGGATTAATATGAAGTCAGACCATGTGATGTTTAAGGTTCTTGGAGTGACGAAAAAGGAAGGATGACTCGGTTACGCACTCGTTAATCTAAGTCTATATAAATATATCAGACTGAAAAGTAATGTTAGCTGCTCACGCAAAACAGTGCTTTTATGTCAAAGACTCATAATGAAAAATGACGAATGGGTTATCCTTAAGAACGCTAGATCCTACATTCATGAAGCCGTGTCTGACGAAGATCAATGAAGTGTTTATCTGTGCCGACGAAATAGTTGCTGAGTTTTTCATTGACACAAAAATAGTCTGGTGGCGAATGAAATTGCCCTTGGTCGCGCGACCTGATTCTGCGATTATATGTGAGCCAAGGCGCGTAAAAATCAAAAAACGAGTCGCACGGTAGATGTCGATAAAACTATAAGGACATCCTTTTGTCTGCAGACCACGGTCGCAGGCTACACCGCACACGGTCGCAGAGTAGAGCCTCAAACATCATCATAAGGACCATGTATCATGTTGTGTTAATGTAGTATAGTATGCCTTATATATCTGCTTTGACTGGTGTATCATCAGGTATAGTTTTTGTACTTGTATTATAGTATTGCCTTTATATTATCTGTTTTGACTGGTTATCATGTTACAGTTTTTGTCATGTATTATAGTATTGCCTTTATAATTTATCTGTTTGACTGGTTATCATGTATCAGTTTGTGTCATGTATTAATAGTATTGCCTTTATATTATTATGTTTGAACTGGTTATCATGTATCAGTTTGTGTTTGTATTATATAGTATTGCGCATTTATATTATCTGTTTGACTGGTTATCATGTATCAGTTTTTGTCATGTATTATAGTTTTGTTGGGTACTCATTATGTTTTCAAAGTATAGATGACAAAAGGATTACGTAAGAGAGCGCTTGAGAGAGTTTTTGGTAGACATTCTGGAGGCGACGCACATGGCTCTACGTCAGGTATTTTTATTTATTTATTATATCTGTACATTTCTATAAACTATTAATACGAGCCTAACATTATTTTTTCACATTTCCTACGCAGGCCGCATCGCTGCTACACATGACGGGCCGCCACAGGACACAGGACGAGGAGATGCTCCACCTGATGCGGAGACACTCGTTGATCCTGCCCAGCATGCAGAGATGCCGCCGTCGCCTCCTCAGGCTGCAGATGTATTGGAGGAGCGCCGATATGAGCCATATAGCGCAGCTGTAGAAGCTGCGCCACTACCGCCGGATTCTATTCCGGATCAGCGAGCCCACGACCCGGCCAAGGTGAAGGAGGATTGGGATGCTTATCATGATTTGCGACTTATCGCACAGCAGAGGTATGAACAAGCAAGGCGTAGATGCCTCGAATTGAAAGGTGTGTATAGATTTTTATAGTTTATATGTTAATATTTTAATTTGTATTATCGATATTGATTGATTTATATTTCGCCTGAATTTCATTTTTTCGTAGGTACCGAGCGACCTACTAGGCGCGGCCGCAGTGGTACCAAGCCAAAGAACCTCGTCCCAGATATTCGTCGGAGGGCCGTGATCCGATGGGAGAACGGCGTGCCTGTCGGGCCATTTGCTAACTCTTTCAACAATTTCCTCGCCGCTTTAGCCAGGAGACATGATTTCTTCAACATATATTTGACGTGGAAGTCGCAGCGGATTGATGCGCTGGTGGCTTGTTGGCGATATATATGTGTGAGTCATTTATTTTATAGTTTATATTATTTTGTTTAACACACTGATTTGTATCTCTTTTTTCATTGTATGCTGAAGCGATTTTTCTTTCTTGACGATTACGCTTATGCCTGGACTTACTGCTTCACGCAAATCAATCTATCGTTCAAGAGGTGGCGGTCAGAGCTGAAGAAAAAATATTTTACTCAAAGAACAGAAGATTGGGAGCGTTACTGGCATCTTGACGAGCGCGCCGATGGAGTTGATTTTTTTGCACTTTGCGATTATTGGGACACGGCCGAAGCTCAGGTATTATTGAAGTATATATCTTCGTTTATTGTTTGAAATTCTATATTATATCTGTTTAACATTCTTTTGCAGGAACAAGCTGAAATAGCAAGGAGGAACCGCAATGCACCACGCAGTTACGAGCATCACGGGGGCTTCAGGTCCTTCAGCCAGCATTATCATCAATTGGCGCTTGAGGTATATAATATATTAGCTCTTAGGTTATCAATTTGAGTATAATTTATGTGTTATGAGTTAATGATATATGTGAATAAAATAGGGAAGGGGAGAACTCGGGCATTTTGCAGATCGTATTCTGACTGGTTGGAGTCCAAATTACGCCGATGAAGTGAAGAAAGCGCAGAACCGGGATCTGGCTGTAAGTAGCAGTTAATTTGTATATTTAATTTTTATAACAATGCATTTTAAATGTGTTAGAATTGACCGGGTTGTTTTGGTATATCGTAGGAGAAATTACATGCTAAGGTGCAGGAGCAATTATCACAGACTCAGGTCGATTCTAACACTCCGACCCGATTAAGTAGAGAGGAGGAGGATAGCATCATCGAGACCGTCATTGGACCGAGTAGGAAGAACAGATACAGGTGGAGAGGATCCGAGCATCGGCCGTACGAGTCCAGTAGCACCTACGAGTCTGCAGCTCCACCAGGATGCAGTTCTTCTCAAGACCCGACTATGGAGCAGCGGATGAAAGCGATGGAAGATTGGCAGTCGCGTCGGGAGTCGGAGCTACTCCAGATGGCGGAGGAAGAACGGAGGCGCCGGGAGCAGAGGGAGCTGGAATTCACCCAGTTCATATCGACTCTGCCTTCTGATGCTCAGGAGGCATATAGGAGACGGTTTTTGGCGGATCAGGTAATATATATATATATGTATATTTCTTTTTTAATTAAATGAATTAAATATAAAATTCTTACTTAGTTA